GGCAGGTGTTTTCTTTTTTGTCTTATAGTAATCGGGGGGGGGGGGGGGGGCGGCCCGGGCCCCCCCCCCCCCCCCCCCCCCGCTCAGTTTTTTTTACGTTATAGTTTTCTCTCGAGAAATTTTTCTGAGTTAATAGACGATTTTAATTTATTTGTGGAGTGGATAAGTTATGCTAAAGGCAATCATCTATTTTCTCTCATAAAACATTTCTTTAGGTATTGCGATTAAAACTCGTTCATGTTACACCAGGACACTTTATCTATTGAATACTCTGCCGAACATGAATCGGTTTCTGAAAGGATGTACTACAGTGTATATTCGAATTCACACTGTTTTCTCTTCAGGTTCAAACTAATTGCTCTTTGGGTCCGGACTATCTTCTCTTTTTAATCGACCAATTTTCTCTTTGGATCCAGAAAGAGCAATAGCTCGCAATATCAACATGTATATGTAAACAAATTATGACGATAGGGAAAGCATGAAAAAAACTTTTGAAGAATATTAACATTCAAATTAATAATTGCAAATTATTAGTGTTAAAAATTAATGTCTAGAAAAAAATATGATTTTGCTATTTGATCTGATTTTTTCACACATTTATCTACAGGAAAATAGCTCAAAAAGATTGTCTTGATTTAAAACGAAGGCCTTACAAGTTCTAGTCGGTAATATATTTTTCTGTAAACATGGATGTGGCGAAAAGAAAAAAACGGCAGGGAAGCTAAAGCAGTTTTTTAAGAAAATATTACAGAAAAGTGTAAAATTCAGAAGAAATTGATTGTTTCGCTGTTGAAACCTGAATTTTTCTGTTTTGGGCGGAGTGTTATACCCTCTCCCGATCAATGCAGCCCTAGCTGGATGTAACAGAAGTTTTCTGAGGACTGATACAGCAACATTACTTGGATGTTTCTGTAGCAATTATTTTTAAAACGATCTTTCTGGAAAATTTATCATTGCTTTTCAAAAGTGGAGGCGTGTAAACTCCTTCCCTCCAAAGATCGTCACATCCCTGGCTGTAAAAAGCTAATACAAAACTGTTTCTCTCTTGCTTTAGGAGATTTTCTTCTTCAAATCTTCTCCCCGCTAAGCAAAACTAAACGAAAACTATGTTTCCATTTGTTGATACCTTTCACATAATAACATGTAGGATGATGCTTTCTTTTCCTTCCAGTTGTTCCATTAGTTGAAGGTGAAGCATATAAACAACCACGACGATATAAACATGCGAGTCTAAACGATGACAAAAAAAAATTTTCATCATTACGACAGGAAACAAAAGTATTCAAATCAAATCGTTCTAAATAGTAAAAGATTAAAAAAATTGATAAGAATGCGAGATAAAAAATATTATTTTATAATTTCATGGAGAACATGAAAGTGAGTAACGAAATTCATGGTACCCAATTTCATTAAACTTAGATATCTATTATTGAAAGAAATCATAGCTAAAATAAGTTAGATTGTAGTAGTAAATAGCGAATGAATATAAAATGCGTGATCCAAACCATCCATGATACCATAACACAAAATGATCCTTGTTCTATGAGAACAATTGGCGGCAAGAGTTCTAGCCACATCCATTTTAGTACAACAGATGATAATTGCCAAACAAGTAAATAGACAGTCAGTATATCTATTTTAATCCATAAATTAAGAGATGCAACAAATTGTGCTAAGAATTCAACAGTGAATAATGTAAAGATTATACTCCGAGCACGATTAACTATTTTTATACCATACAATAATATTAACTGTAGCACCAATTAAATTACAAATATATATATCAAGATATATAATTGATCATCCGGAATAATAAGATAATAACACGTTGTGTCACCTAAATAAATAAAATGTAGATAATAAAATCATTATATAAAAACTATATATACTTATTTCTCGATTGGTAAAACAACGTAATAAGAGCCCATAATCACGTTTTAAATTAATTAAATGTTCTTGCAAAAAAGAATGTGTTGGTGTTACATCGCTTAGGATACAATAAAATATAAATGATGTAATCATACTTAAACTGGTAGCAATCATTATATGAACTTGAAAATGCATTGTTTATATTCTTTCCGTAAATGTATTCTGTTATATTTATATTACTTTTATTGGATGCCATAAACTAAAAGAAGAATTGTTGAATATATCGTGTGATGACAAGGAATACGAGAAATGTGAATCAGATGAGACACATAATGATTGGATGAATTTTATGTCAAAAAACAAATTCGTTTTCTAATTCTAAAAGTATGAGGCGTATTATTTGATGGACGATGGTTTCGGAGATATAGACGAAAATATGTCATAGGGGACATTCGTTTTGTAAATATATCTCGAATATTTTCTCATCAAAGTTCAATCTAAATTCAGCTTGGTTCTCTGTAAAAGTTTCATCCAATGATTTTCAGTCTCACTACACTCAAAAATCAAAGTTTGGTTCTTTATTTGAGCATTGACTGTTAGAGAATATTTTTTCATTTCCCTTAGCTTTCTAAATCAGCCATTGGATAGAAAAAAAAACTAATATAACTTACACGCGACAAACATTTATTGCTGTTGATGAGTGAAGAATTATCAGATCAAATGATTGACCTGAAACAATTTTTTCGTTAATGTATTTTTTTGACGGACAAATGTCAGCATTGTCGAAGAGAATATATATTGTAACCGATGTTGGAATTTAATCTAACTTCATTTAATGGAATTAAAATATTGTTTCAGTGAATTACAAACTAAAGATATGAATTGAAGAACATTATAAACCTTTTCTCTGCAATATTATTTAACAAATATCCTGTAAAATATACGTAAATCCAAGTTATTTTTGAACATCCATCCCTCTTTGATCAAAATTTTATTCGAGAAAGAAAAGTTGTATTTTTCATTGTATGGACATGCTTTTGACGTATACGTTCCTTGGAAATTAAAATTTAAATCGATTATAAAACAATGAGAATATAACACTTTGAAAATTAAATAATCATTATAAATATTAAACTATCAGGATCAATTTTTATTCAACTTATTCAGTTAAGTATGTTCTAAATTCATGAATAATTCAGTTTTCAATGACTTCTCGAAACCACCGTGTTGAAGAATTAATTTACGTGAAAAAAATTATTTCTCGATTTCTTTAGACTTAAATTTGGAAATACTTTGAATCAGTATTTGTTCGATCGACTGTGTAAGCATATATGTAATACTAGAAAGTTGAATTCAACTATTCAAGTATTCAATTCAGTTATTGGCTGTGTGAGAGAGCTGCGAAGGGTGATGAGATGTGAATGCTAGTTTGAATGTCTTATTAATGGAATAACTGAATAGTTGAATTGAACTTTCAAGTTTGACACTACTGGAATTCAATGATGAAAGAAAAGTAATATTTCCTTGTATCTGTCAGTCCTAACCTTGCTATGTTTTTTCTTTAATTTTAGATCCTGTATAACATTATATGGTATGCTGTGGTTATGTTTATATGTTTTATATATTAATAAAATTAATCTTAAGCTTAATCTCCAAATGTTTGTCTCGTTCTGTTGTACCACCTCTCGGTAATTTTCCTAATGCAAATCCATTGGCTCATGTTTCTGCTTTATTTCTTCCATACAGTCCAAGATTTTGAATTAATTTATCTTTGTATGAATGTTAATAAAATAAAATGGTAATTTATAAATCTATTTCTTTATAATCTTGATAAATATTACGTTGATGATATTCAGACATTCAGTTCCTATCAAGGGCGTAGGTGTCCTCTTCATCCTCATCCTCACCCTCACTCT